CCTATAAAGATCACATAGCTAGTGAGTATCTTGACCATCCAGGTAAGGTGCTCTTACCTATAATCTCTCCAAATAAATGTTTGTTGAATGAATGAATGGTTGGTTAGATGACTGAATGAATAAAGAGATGATCAATATTCGTGCCTTTAAATGTCACTTCCATATTGATGACTCCCAAATGTACATCTATATTTCTGATCTCCCATTTAAAATCCAGACCCAGATTCCCACTTGTGGGCAGCTTATTTCTGTTTGAATGCCTTGCATCACAACACATATAGTATGTCCACCACTGAACTTATTGTCCGATTCCGCCTGTGAGGTTAGGGAATTTTTTTCTTCACTGTTATATCTCTCATGTCTGGAAAAGAGGCTGATATGTATTAGAGATTGAATAAATACTGACAGATGGAATAAATTCTGAGTGAAATGACCTCACCTTCTCCCTCTTCACTTTCTTGTTTCATCAGAAAGCAACTCATTTGTTTAGACACAGACATGATAACTAGGAGCGGGAGAGAGCGTAAACGAAATGTTCTTTTTTGATTTGTTCCTCTTCTTCATGCTCTGTACTAAGTCAGTTACCAGGACCTTTTAATGTTTTTCCTATAAACTGTCTCAAGCTTTGTTTTAGGCCATCGTTTAGTTCCATGGCTGGCAACATAATAGGGATGCTTGTCATTACCTGTCTGGGCAGGTGTAGTGGCTTCCTTATTCTCTTTATCTCCAGGCTCTGCCCTCCTCTCTACAAATGGTGGCTCATTTTTATCATGACAATGATTTTCAATATCACTTCTTCTGTCCCACATGCCTCAGGAATATGATACATTTCCATTGGTTGTGGGAGTTACTACAGCAGTGATTCTGATTTCCGAAGTGATACCTCTCCCTTAGGAATAAGACTCTCAGGATGAGTACGAGGGTATATTTTGATTAAGCCCAGTGGGTGATTTTGATATGTTCTTCTGGGGCGATATCACACACTTACCCCATCCTGGGGAATTAGCAGTTCACTCAGTCCAGTCCAAATGATTCTGCATGCTTTCCATGTATTTCATAAGCTTGATAAGTCTACCTCTCAACTTCATTACCTTTCTCCCTTCTAGCTATTTGTTGTTTGTTTTCTGTTGTTATTGTTGTTAGGTGCTGTTGAGTCAGTTTCGACTCATGGCAACCCTATGTACAGCAGAACGAAATGCCCTTTCATGTGCCATCCTCACAATCATTGTTATGCTTGAGCCCAGTGTTGCAGTCACAGTGTCAATTGTTTTCTGTAGCAACCAAAATATGTATAAATTGTACACACTTCTCTTATTCTTCATTCCAAGCTAATTGAACCACCTCTCTCAGAAGC